CCCCGGGCTCCTGTCCAGTGCTCTGGCTTAAGAGGCGCTCAGCTCAGCCTGTGATTGCACAACTGGCTACGATGACAAATACAGATTCCAGGCCTCCATCTAGACCCCTGGACCGGGGAGCCCCAGGCCCTAGGAGGTCCTTCGCACACGCCCCTCCCAGAGGGGTCGGGCAAGCACCGCAAACCTCTTTGGGTAGAAGGGTCCACACCTGGGACGGTGGGAATCACCTGCTTTTCTTTCCCCTTTCGCGCCCTTATCTTGGTCATAATACGAAGTTTTAGTGTCTGTGTATGGAGTTCAAACGACCCCTCCTCCCCAGGCAGAAGCTGGAGGAGAAATGCGTCGTGAATTTTGGAAAAGCGGCTCAGCGGATTACATTTTGTGTGCTCCTTGATTCACCCAACCTGGATCTCCTGCGCTCCCCTCCTTTAAAATTGCAAGGACCCCGGGGAGGTTATGTAATCTGCCTGATCACAGTTGTCAGGGACTGATCCCGCTGAAGCTCTTTGCATTTTAGCACCAGTATTAGCTTAGCAAAGGGCACTTACTTTAGGTAGAGGTGATTTGTAAATAGTAATCACTGGTAGTGAAGGGATGCCGCGTTGCGACCGCAAGGCTTTTCCTGCCGCGTGAAGCCCATGTTTGGGCTGCACAGCTTTCCTATTAAAAACGTTATCCATCATCTTCCTTTTTGAAAATTCAGCATTTACTTGGGAAAAAAAAAAAAAAGTAGACTATGTCTTTAAAAATATGCCCAGCAAAGATAACTCACGAGAAGAGAGCTAGACCAGAAATTAAATACTTGGAAAGGAAATAAAAGTGTAATACACAAGCAGCACATTTATCTCCGCTCTATTGGAAGGTGGCTTTATTTGGTTATTTGCCCACCAAGACGATGTAGACCAGAGGAGAGAGAAGGAATTAATTGTTCTTTTGTCGGTAACGCTCTGTGGGTATTGCCCTGGAATTTCTTAGGTCAGCTGCTGTGTGGGAAGGTGACAGCTTTTTCTTGAAGCTGAACATCAAGCTCAGTTTCGAGGTCATATTTGATGGCTTAGTAATTGGGTCCTTTGGTCGTGTCTGTAAGTGATACAGACTGTTATTATTATTTTTAAAAACCACATTCAAATAATGCAAAGTAAAACAAAAAAGGTGTCAAAATCCGCTGGCTTTACTCTGACAGTCTCTAGCTGTGGTTCCCTAGCTGTGTTCCTCACCCTCGGCTGCACAGTCGAATCCCTTTGGGAGGTTCGTTGTTTTTTGTGGGAAATTTAAAAAATCATGCTGATTGGGTAGAGATTCTGATTTAATTAGTCTGGAATGGGGCCAGGGCATTGTTAACTTTTGTTGTTTTTTTAGAGCTTCCTGAGGTAATTCTGACATTCACTGAAAACTGAGCCCCTCTGCACATTCCCAAATAGCATAGTTAGTAACAATGACAATGAAGAGCTTTCAGCCTAAAATTCATGTGGATAATCTAAGTATAAAACAAGTACCTTATTCCGCTCACCACCAGAGGCTTAGAGAAACATGAGTACACACAGTATTTATTCCATCTACGACGGGATAATGGTGTGTGGAGAAATTACGAAGGAAAAGCTCATGGCTTCATCGTCTATTGGCCATGATCAAGTGTGGGAAAAAGTCTACAGAGAGTGACTAGAAATTTGAAAATGGAAGCCATTAAAACTGAAGAAGGGAAATGAAAACTTTTAAAATAATGATGACAAATTGACAAAAGATTTAATATTTTTGTCTGTAATATAGAGAAGTTATGCAGATACCTCAGAAGGTGTCAGGGATTAAATAAAAGTGGTTAAATAAATAATTTAAGAATTCATATGAAAGGCACATACTGATGGTAAACATTTGGAAAACATGTTCAAACTAGTTAATCACAAGTTCAAAACTAAAATAATTAGGACGTGCCATTTTCTATCCACCAGGCTAACAAATGAGGAAAACATGGAAAAGGCTAATCAGGCTGGGCTGATAGGGAGGGATCTGTTGAGGCTCAGGAGACTGGTTAGCGGTTAGGTGCACAGTTAGACTGACCTCAGCTTAAATCCTGGCTGATAGTAGGTGACCTTCAGATGCCTCATCCCAGAATGGAGACACGAGGAGCTATTTCTTTTTCTTTTTTCTTTATTTTTTTTTTTTGAGACAGAGTCTCGCTCTGTCCCCCAGGCTGGAGTGCAGTGGGGTGAACTCAGCTCACTGCAACCTCTGCCTCCCGGGTTCATGCCATTCTCCTGCCTCAGCCTCCCGAGTAGCTGGGACTACAGGCGCCTGCCACCACGCCTGGCTAATTTTTTTTTTTTTTTTGTATTTTTTTAGTAGAGAGGGCGTTTCACCGTGTTGGCCAGGATGGTCTCGATCTCCTGACCTCATGATTCGCCCGCCTGGGCGCCTCAAAGTGCTGGGATTACAGGCGTGAGCCACCACGCCCGACTCACCAGGAGCTATTTCACAGAGCTGTTGGGGCCTGGTGATTCTTTGGTAAGTGTGGTTCTTTGTATTATCTGGGAGATCTCAACCATCACAGTTGTCATTAGAAATCAGCACGCCTAAATTGGAGAGAAATGTCGTAAAGCATATCAGAAGCTATTCAAAAGCCTGTTTTTGGTTAAAGATTTTACTCTTGGGCCCAGTGTGGTGGCTCACGCCTGTAGTTCTAACACTTTTGGGAGGTCGAGGTGGGTGAATCACTTGAGCCCAGGAGGTTGAGACCAGCCTAGGTAACATGGTGAAACCCTGTGTCTACAAAAAAATACAAAAAAAAAAAAAAAAAAAAAAAAAATAGCTGGATGTGCTAGCATGTTCCTGTAGTCCCAACTACTTGGGAGGCTGACGTGGGAAGATTGCTTGAGCCCAGGAGGTTGAGGCTGCAGTGGGCCACTGCACTCCAGTCTGGGAGACAGAGCAAGACTCTGTCTCAAAAAAAAAAAAAAAAAAGATTAACTGGATGTTCCGATCCTGAAGAGGCTCTGTTGACCTCTGCATTGGTTGGATGTGGCCTGGATCACTATAACGTCCATGTGTTGAGCACTTGTTTTATTTCTGTGCCAACCATTTCGTAGTGGTCAGGTTTAGCTTTCCCAACGGTCTCATGAAGCACATACTCTTATGACCCTTAATTTATTGGTGAGGAACCTGAGGCAGGTTGGGGTTCAGATTCAAGTTTAAATTGAATTTATCCCACTATGTCATACTTCAGGTCCCAAACCTCACTTCCATTGAAAGCTTTCCAGGAGACCAAAGAACAGAAAAAATGATTGTGAAAGCTTTCTTTGGCCTAGAGAACAAAAAACTGTAGTGGATTATTAAGAGTTTTATACTGCAGGGCTTGTCTTCACTGAGAGCTAAATAAGGGTAAATTAAGATAAACTTAAAAATGAGGGATTGAGGCCCAACACAGTGGCTCACACCTATAATCCCAGCACTTTGGGAGGCTGAGGTGGGCAGATCACGAGGTCAAGAGATCGAGACCATCTTGGCCAACATGGTGAAACCCCGTCTCTACTAAAAATACAAAAATTAGCTGGGTTTGGTGGTACGTGTCTGTAGTCCCAGCTACTCGGGAGGCTGAGGCAGAAGAATGGCTTGAACCCGGGTGGTAGAGGTTGCAGTGAGCCGAGATCGCGCCACTGCACTCCAGCCTGGGTGACAGAGCAAGAGGGATTGAGCTGGCTATGTGAAGAATTCCCGATTCTGCCATTGAAATGAGTGACTAGGGAGCCCAGAGGAAGCTTTCCCATTACAAAATAGAGAACCAAGTTCTTACCTTCCTCATTGTGTTATTAAGTAGTTCCCCATTTTTTTCTTTTGGGTAAATTTACTTAGAGGATAAATTAACTTCTCTTTTATATAATATCATATAAATGGCCAGTTGGTTGAAATGAACCACTTTGCTTTGAGTTTTGACAAGAGCAGTTCACTCTATTTTTCCTACCAAATTGGCACACATGATTTTAGAATGTGTGTCATCTTTCTGTCATCCTCAGAACATCATCTAGTGAATTGGTGAGCTGTGTGATGAGTGAATCCAGGAGCAGTGAGTTTCTCTGCCCTTCAGACTGAGGCTTGTCTTAAAACTATCTCCTTACCCCTCTCCGATCTGCCATGAAAATTAGGAGATTCCAAACTCCAAAACAAAGTGATAGAAAGCAGCACTTCTTAAACTTTCGAGGCACGTGCACCCCACCCCTGGGCCTTGCTAACCTGTCTGACTCAAGTGAGTTCTGCATTTCTAACAAGCTGCCTGGCTACAGTCGCAGCTGAGTAACATGGTAGGGGAGAAAGCTTGAACTTTAGAGTCATACAAATTGGGTTCATATCAGTGATTTCATTGAAAAACCGTGACCACAGACAGTTAGGTAATTCTTGAGAGGCTTAATTTATTCATCTGTAAAGGGGGGGAAATACCTAGCTCATGAGATTGTCATTATTGTAGGGAAACTACTAAATTCAGTACATGTCACATCTTAGCACTTGATGAATATAAGTTCCTCACACGATCCTTTGATGCACTAGATGTGAGTGGTGTTGACTGAATCCTCTTTTGTAGTAGAGACATCTGTGCAAAAAGAGACCTGCGTGTGTGTGCACATGCATGCACGCACATATATCTGCACATACACAAAGTAATGTGTGGGAGACCACAGAAATCCCAGAGTGTAGGGTTTTGAGAAGCACTACTGGAAGCAACTGTTCACATGAATGTACTTTGTCTCTAACACATATTTCGGGTACCTTCTTTTTTTTTTTTTTAACTTTTCCTAATTTTTACCAGACTTAGACAAAAAAAGACATGTAGAGCTGAAGATGGATCAGGCTTTGCTACTCATCCATAATGAACTTCTTGGGGCCAACTTGACTGTCTACTGGAAATCTGAATGCTGTTATCACGTATGTATCAGTTCACACTCAGTTCTGTTTGCTTTGGGGCTTGTTTGATATGATCCTTAATGCTTTCATATCTAAAGCCCCTCACAAGTTAATTTCAGTTTTGCACCTAAGGAAACAAAGAAGCTACATAAAGAATCAGAAGAAATACAGTCAGAGGAGGATGCCTAGGAATGCACAGCATCCATTTTTATCTTTTCATCCACCCATCCTTTAAAAAAGCAGTTCTCAGGGATGAACAACCTTGATAGACTATGTTTTATTTTCCTCCTCTCTAGTGCAAAACCCTCTTGCTGGACCAGAGAAGGAAGGAGTGGGACACCAGGGTATTCTCCAGTGGCCAGCAGAGTGGGCAGCCAGCAGGAAGGTGCAAGTTGAGGGAGTGGCAGTTATTCCGAGGCCCTGCCTCCCTGATGATAACAAATGCGTTTTCTCTGAAGGTTTTACTCCTATTCTAGACCTTGTTGCTTTTAAGGACAAGGCTATTCTTTTATGTAAAATAAAATACTCTACTATGTAACCATAAAAAAAGAACGAAATCATGTCCTTTGTAGCAACATGGATGCAGTTGGAGGCCAATATCCTAAGTGAATTAACACAGGAACAGAAAGCTAAATACTGTATGTTCTCACTTCTAAGAGGAGCTAAGCATTGGGTACTCATGAACATAAAGGTGGGAACAGGAGATACTAGGGACTATTTGAGCTGCAGTACCCAAGCAGTACTGAAAAACTTGGGTACTACAGCCGAGTAGTACCTATATGGCTGAAAAACTACCTACTGGGTACTGTGCTCACCGCCTGGGAGACAGGATCATTCAGGTCCCAAACTTTAGTATCATGCAATATACCCATGTAGCAAACCTGTGCATGTGCCCCTAAATCTAAAATAAAAATTGAAATGATAAAATGTTTTTACTGGGCACAGTGGCTCACGCCTGTAATTCCAGCACTTTGGGAGACTGAGGCGGGTGGATCACCTGAGGTCTAATACCAGCTACGTGGGAGGCTGAGGCAGGAGAATCACTTGAACCTGGGAGGTGGAGGTTGCAGTGAGCTGAGATTGCACCGTTGCACTCTAACCTGGGCAACAAAAGCAAAACTCTGTCTCAAAAAAAAAAAATTTTATTGCCAAATTGAGAGCTTTATTATACCTACCATCAGAGGATGAATTTTAATTTATATTGGGTGACTGTTTACTATAAATGCTTTAAAAAACAAACTTAAAATCTCCAGTGTGGGCACCAGCTGAAAAGATGATGGAGCAATAGGTGATACCTTCTCTATTTGAATAAACCTACTGAAAGCTTTGTAAAGTAATATGAAACAAGCAAAAGTCTATTAAGAAAAAGTAGCTTAAGACAAAGAAAAAATTTATTGGCCCACAAGAAGAACCTAAAAGAATCTTGGAAATAATCAACAATAGCTGAAATTAAAAAGTGACAGGAATCAGATACTTCAGTGAATGGGCAAAATGTCTTCTAAAGACAATAAGGGTCTAAAATCCACAGAAAAACAAGTTGAGCAGGGAAAAGACTGTTGTCAAGGTGTTAGGTGTAGGGCAAGTAAAACCATTAATAGAATAAAACAAATAGGGTCACTGGAGTACAACAATGATGCTATGGACAAATTAAAGAATTAAAAAAGAGGCCGGGCACCACCGTAATCCCAGCACTTTGGGAGGCCAAGGAGGGTGGATCACCTGAGGTCTGGAGTTCAAGACCAGCCTGGCCAACATGATGAAACCCCATCTTTACTAAAAAATACAAAAAATTAACTGGGCATGGTAACAGGTGCCTGTAATCCCAGCTACTTGGGAGGCTGAGGCAGGAGAATCGTTTAACCCTGGGTAGCAGAGGTGGCAGTGAGCTGAGATTGAGCCACTACACTCCAGCCTGGGCGTCAGGGTGAGACTCTGTCTTAAAATAAATAAATAAATAAACAAACAAACAGAAGAATTAACTGCATGAGACGGTTTTTTTTTTTTTTTTTTGAGACGGAGTCTTGCTCTGTTGCCCAGGCTGGAGTGCAGTGGCTGGATCTCAGCTCACTGCAAGCTCCGCCTCCCGGGTTCAGGCCATTCTCCTGCCTCAGCCTCACTACAGGCGCCCGCCGCCTCACCCGGCTAGTTTTTTGTATTTTTTAGTAGAGACGGGGTTTCACCGTTTTAGCCAGGATGGTCTCAATCTCCTGACCTTGTGATCCGCCCGTCTCGGCCTCCCAAAGTGCTAGGATTACAGGCTTGAGCCACCGCGCCCGGCCATGAGACTTTTAAGAAAAAAATTGCCAATTTATTTAAAAGAATGGAGATAATTACGTCAGGAAAATGTATAAAGAAGTGACACAGGGTTTGTATTTAATCATAGTAGTAGAAAATATCCCATTATAGTAAAAAAGATTTTAGCCTGGCAACTGGAAAGACACTTATGACCCTTTTAAGATTAACCAGAGACTGATAAAATTTGTCTAGATATAAACTTTGAACATAAATTTTGAACTTTAATGATAATTTTAAAAATTTTAAGCAGATGTAGGTTTTAGGAAACACAAGCATGTAAAAAAATACAAATGATAATAACTTTGTATATTCAGTATACCAGATAATAAAAATCTGGGGCTGATGGAAGGATATCTTTAAGATATTTAAGGTGAAGATATGCCCAAGAGGTCAGTTACTAGCTGAGTTGAAGAATTTCCTGTTCTGTTTCCTTCTTTATCTTACTTCCTTAAAGTAGAAAGACGATTTATTTTATTTATTTATTTATTTTAAGACGGAGTCTTGCTCTGTCGCCCAGGCTGGAGGGCAGTGGAACGATCTCGGCTCATGGCAACCTCCACCTCCTGGGTTCAAGTGATTCTCCTCCCTCAGCCCCCCGAGTAGCTGGGATTACAGGCACCCGTCACCGTGCCTGATAATTTTGTATTTTTAGTAGAGACAGGGTTTCACCGTTTTGGCCAGGCTGGTCCTGAACTCCTGACCTTGTGATCCGCCTGCTTTGGCCTCCCAAAGTGCTGGGATTACCGACGTGAGCCACCGTGCCTGGCCAGCATTTAGTTTTTATAAGTAAGATGTTCTTAGTATGGTAAATAGTTAATGTTTCTGTATCTTTAAAATATTACTAAAAAAAGAAGACTGAGCCATGTGAGGTAGTTCACACTTGTAATCCCAGCACTTTGGGAAGCCAAGGCGAGATGATCACTTGAGGTAGGAGTTTGAGACCAGCTTGGGCAACAAAGAAAGATCTCATCTCTTTTAAAAAAAAAAAAAGAAAAAAGAAAAAAAACAAGACTGTACAATGTGGAAAATATGTAAAAAGAAGATATTGTGAATATTTAAAATTGCTTTTGAAAAGAGAAGAGCTATACATACATACACTGGTAAATAAAGTATTAAAAACTAAAATATATTATTGCACTCATAAAGAATACAATGAAAACTTGTACTTTTTGATGAAGTGGATGTTAGAATAAAAGGGGCTAGTTAAGCATTTGCATAAATAGTAAATACTAATACTAAAATATGAACACCCTAAATAAAAATAAATTTATGTGGGTCCCCAAAGTACATCAGAAATAATGGTAGCAGCTAATAATACAAAGCAAAGTCATAGTAGAGACAAATGGTAAGATACTCTTATCAGGGCAAACATTTGAAGGTTTCATCATAGAGCTGGTGAACTGAGCTGAACAATGTCAGGGAGTGAGGTGGTTAAGAGCTTGGATTCTGCAGTCCGAGTGTCTGGTTTAAATCCCACCTCTGTCACTTGTGTTACTTTGGGTGTGGGAGTTCTTACCTTCTCTATGCTTCTCTTCCCCTGTGAAGCTGGAAAAATAATGGAACCTGCCCCTGAGCTCCCTGGGAGTGTTTCGTGACTGAGTACCTGTAAGCTGAAGCAGAGTGAGACCTCTCCATGTGTCAGTATTACTGGCAATAGACATAAGTAACATATGTGGCAGAAATTAAATGAAAAAAGTAGATAAATTCAAATTCAAAAATTCCTGTATGTATTTGTTTCACAAAACACTCATCCTATGTTAAGTCAAAAGAGACTGAATAAATTTTAAAAAGCAGGGATTATATATATATTCTACCTCATACTTCTGCACAACAAAGAAACAAACTAATAAGGGTTATAATATAAATACGAGCATTTCTTAGAAAATCTTTAAATCAGGCCAAAGCAATTCCTATGAAAAAACGCATGTAAATGTTCATAATAATAAAGATGATGGTAATAGAAATCGCAGCTACTGTTTTCCTGAGGACTTGTTCAGTGTTTTAGGTCTGTCTCATTTAACTTACAACACTCCAATAGAGAGATTCTATGCAGGAGAGAGGATTTGCTGGAGATACTGAAATTAAGAAAAATAAAGTGACTTTTTTTGGGTTACCTAGCTGTTAGGTGGCAGAGCTACAATTCACCCCTCCTTGTAGCTTTGGAGGTTGGTCTTTATGTTAATTGGAAAGAAAAGGGGAGGCTAGACGTAGTAGTTCATACCTGTAATCCCAGCACTTTGGGAGGCCCAGGTGGGCAGATCACTTGAAGGTTAGGAGTTTGAGACCAGCCTGACTAACATGGTGAAACCCCGTCTCTACTAAAAATACAGAAATTAGCTGGGCATGGTGGTGGGCGCTTGTAGTCCTAGTTACTTGGAGGCTGAGGCAGGAGAATCACTTGAACCTGGGAAGCGGAGGGTGTAGTGAGCTGAGAGCACGCCACTGCACTCCAGCCTGGGTGACAGAGTGAGAGTCTATCTCAAGAAAGAAAAGGGGAAATGCAAAGTTATTCAGTAGGGATCTCAAGGTTTTTGAAAGCAAACAGTGTAATCTTCGAAACAAAAAGGAAAAGAAGCAATAATATTAATAAATACATAAGCTAGAAAATGAGAGCTGAATCGAAGTAAGAACAAGCTGAGAAATGATTTTTTTGTTTTTGAGGCAGAGTCTTGCTCTGTAGCCCAGGTTGGAGTGCAGTGGTGTGTGATCATGACTCACTGCACTCT